TGAATAACAAGTCTAAACTGCAATGACCTATCTCTCCTAGGAGACCATGAGTGCCTCATGAGCAGAAATGAAGTACTGTTCATCCCTGACTCTTCAGCGCCCCATTGATAACTAACACATGGTGAAAGACCGATGCGTGTGACTTTAACTGAACTAAACTTAAAGAATCTGAGCAATCACAAGACATACCCGATCAAAAAGCCTCCCGGCTGAACCTGTATGCAATCATTCTCACACTCCTCTTCCACCACAGGGCCCCTATGTGGTGGGCAAAGCCTAGGAAGCCTGACTAATTCTGCTCACCTCATTCTGCCAATGCTGGTGTGAGTCGGAAACATCCCGAGTTACCCAGAACTCAAACACAGGAGCCTCCACGCATCTGCTCCGTCCCTGGGGGGTCTGCACAGTGTGGAAGAAGACGCTGCACAGGCACCACTGGCACGGGGTATGGTAACTGAGGGACAAGTCACAAATCTGTCAAGGCCTCATAAAGAAAAACCGGGGTCTCTGTTTCTGCATAAAAGAGCTCTGCTTCCCCCTTGCAGCAGGAGTTGGCGTTGTTCTAAAGAGAAATGAACCCGCATCTGCTCCGTTCCTGCGGGGTCTGCACAGTGTGGAAGAAGGCGCTGCACAAGCACCACTGGCATGGGGTATGGTAACTGAGGGACAAGTCACAATTCTGTCAAGGCCTCATAAAGAAAAACCGGGGTCTCTGTTTCTGCATAAAAGAGCTCTGCTTCCCCCTTGCACAGGAGTTGGCGTTGTTCTAAAGAGAAATGAACCAAACTCAGGGAGAGCCAATGCGTGTCTGCATGCTCTTGAGAGGCTAGTAGCATTGGAATAACTGTCAGTGAGCACTCTAATGAAGGCTTCTTAAAAAATTTATTTTAAGCCCTGACTGGTTTGGCTCAGTGGATAGAGCGTCGGCATGCAGACTGAAGGGTCCCAGGTTCGATTCCGGTTAAGGGCATGTATCTTAGTTGCAGGCACATCCCCAGTAGGGAGTGTGCAGGAAGCAGCTGAATCGATGTTTCTCTCTCATCGATGTTTCTAACTCTCTATCCCTCTCCTTCTCCCTTCCTCTCTGTAAAAAAAAATCAATAAAATATGTTTTTTTTAAAAATATTTTAAATTTTATTGCACCACATTATACAAGCATTAAACATGGCTTCACATTGATTGATGACTGTTTAAATGTGAAAAAGTCATCATTCATGTCAGTACCTTTTGGCTATTTACAGGTAAGGACATTTTATGTACTTTAGATATCTCTATACTTGTGTGTACAGATGTAAGAATACATGACTATGTACATGTACACACAGAAATACATCCATGGCTATACACATAGCTATAGGTATGTCATATATAATAATCTCCTCAGAAAGATCAAAATTTGAAGAGAAAAAAAGAAGAAAAAGTTGAAAACAGGGTCTTGTTTGCGTTGCTTGGGAGACATGGAATCAGGACCCTATGATGACATTCTAGGGATGTGTGTCTCTCAAGAAGGCTTTTCTAAGAGTGTTATAGAAAGGACTCCATTTAAGACTTAAGACAACGTTATGAAGCAAGTACAAAGTTAAGGAGTGATTAGCTTCCTACATCAAGCCAGACATTTTGGAAATGATCAAAACCCCAAGGCTTCTGTTAACTATGTTGACACAAAGCCCTCTCTGTGTTGAGTCTTATCTGCAATCTAAATTCTTTGAGGGCAGGAACCCTGCCCTCTGTTTCTATCACCCCACCCCCCACCCCCAGGGGTCAGGGCAGAGCACCCGCCAAATAGTGTGTGGCCACCAGACCGGGCTGACCGATTGCTGCTGCTGGAAGGAAGCTCCGTAGATCTACTAGTAAGCGTGCGTTGGCATAAAAGAAGGACATATTTTAGGAGCAGCATGGTGTCAGGGAGAAAATTAAATAAATAATAGACTTACAAAGAGGAATAGTTCCTAAGGAAGAAGTGGCTGCAGCTCAGAAAACAGAGAACAGCGAAAGAGTGAAGAAAGCAGTCTCAAAAAATGAAGTACTTGAAAAGGAAGGGTTTTAACCTTCCTCTCAAGACTATAAGCTAAATCCACAACCAGGTGATCTCCTCCAGGCTCTGCCAGCCGCCCTCTCATTTTGAAGGAAATATTAAACACGTTGATATTTCTTTGTAGGGATTTTGTTCACTGGAGGTGTGTGCAGTATGCAGCCAGCCACTCTCCTTTCCAGATCCCTCCTCTTCCCAGGACATCGAGCCTATCTGTGACCTGTGACCCCTCCTAGTCCCCACGCCTACTGCCTACTGCTGCCTCCTGCCACTCACTGCTCCCTCCCGGGAAGGAACATGCGGGTTAAAGAGAGAGAAAAGAGAAGGTAAAGAGTGATCAGACCAGTATGTATATTCATTTCTTTGATTTGAAATACATTCTCTGAATGATATTTTGGTTGGTGCGGGGTTCTCTTTCCCCTTTCATCCCAATCCCGTCTTCTAGAATAGTCACAAGTATGTTGCAAATCTGGGGGAGGAGGAGATAGGAGGAACATGAGGATGATGGACAAGATTATTTTCTAC